TATATATATACACTAGTCGTGCTACAAATCAGATTTTTGATTTTCTTTGTTGGTACAAAAAATAGAAATCTATTTTTAGTTTGTAATAATAAAAGTTTTGACAGCTAAGAAGACCTACCTACCAATTGAGAAAGTAGCAAATATTGGTAGTTTATTCCTCCATCCCATTTATGGGCGGGGCTCATAAAATTGTGTCACTTTTTAAGTAAAAGAATGAAAAATTACTAGGAGTGTGAGTGACTAAAAGGGTTGATAATCCTAAAACATAACTAAACAGTTTTCTTTTCCAAAATATAAAACTAAACAGTTTTCTATTTTCAATTAATAGAGTTTTGCATACGTATTATGTGTCTTGATACTATTTTTTCTCCATTCAATATAAGTATTATTCATATATAATCACGTTTAAATTTGTTAGTCATATAATTGGTGTGTTTATAATTTTTCTAGTCATATATCTTGATAAAATTCGATCCCTAAAAGCAATTGATCTAAATATAAGAAGACGTTCAAATGGATCTCATTTTTGTGGCTGGTCAAATCGATGATTCAGAAAAATTCCACTCGTCTAAGTTTCTTTTGTTGGTTGCTAATCAAATTAATCTTCCCTTTTGGATGGCTGGTGAAACGCAATTGTTGATATTTTGTTTCATTTGCATTTTGAGTAGCAAGTTCAACAGTGCTATAAGATTAGTCTACATAATTGCAGGATTAGCGAATTTGTTTGGTCCTCGGAGGCCATCCGTTTCTATGTCTCTTCCCAATGAAGCCTCGAGCTATTGTATATTTTTATCTTTTGTTAGTTTTATCATTAATAAATAAGTTCTTTTTTACAAAAAAAATACTTTTTTGAACTGCAAAATACCATTATATTATTTCTATAACTAAGAGTAATTACTGCAATGTTTTGACATTACCATCCTTTAATCATAACAATATTTACAAATTTGACAGTAATTTCTCTAATCATTTTTAAGAAATAAAAACACAGTACTTCAATACGTTTTTACTAGAATTTGGGAATTTTCCCTTAAAGTAACTACTATGAGCTCGTTTAATAACTCAATTTCGTCAATCAGACATATCAATTACATTTCTTATCAAATACTCCATATCTCTAGCAAAAGTTTGCCAAATTTCTTTATGTGCACGTCTAAAAAATTTGTCATTTTAATTCAAATTGATAACTATGTGGATAAATTAAAGTTATATGAGTAAATTCTCTAAATAGAAGTAAAAAAGTTTTGAAATTCCAAAATAGGACTATCATGTTTTTTATTCCCTAAATAGGAGTAAATTTATATCAAGTTTGGCATTATTAGGCTTTTAAACATGGCATTTTTTTCCAAACTTGGCAGATTACTCATATTCAAGGAATAAAAAACATGATACTCATATTTTGAAATTTCAAAGTATTTTTACTCCTATTTAGTGCAATTTCTAAAGTTATATTATCCTTCGTTCTTTAATAGTTGCAACAGTTTGACTTTCATGTTTGCCAACACACAACTTTGATTATAATTATATTTAATTACATATTAGTAAACATTATGAAAACTTAATATTTTGGAAATTAACATCATTAGAAATTTAATAACATTTTATACATGATGGATAGTCTACCCGGGGGTATATATCCGAAGGGTTATTACGGGGAATAACTTAGAGAGAAGTCAGAGCAAACAAGTAAGAGAGAGAGAGTGTATTATAAATGTGGAGCGTTTTCAGCGTGGTTACAAATGGGGAAATGGGGTGCTATTTATAGTAGCAATAAATGCCGGGCAGGGACACGTGTCAAGCGCTCATTGGCTGAGGGGTCACCTCAACTGGTTGGCGCTGGCAGCCGCATGTGGCCGCATTTAATGCGGCTGTTGGATGGGACGTCTGTGCAGAGTACGGTGATCTGTACGCATGTGAAGCGGATATCTTGTCGAGTGAGATGCCTTCGGCTATAGAGCAGTAGCCGAGGGCTCTCCCTCCCGATGGCACCCCTGGTGCCGAGGGCTTACAGTGCCGAGGGCTGCTGTTTTCGCCGTTTTCTCCCAGTTTCTTAGTTTGCTTGAGAAACCCGCTCTGTGATAATTTGGAGCCTTCGGCCAGGGGCCGAAGGCACCCCTGTGCGTTGTGCGGACTGCTTGGTACTCCGGGCGCTGTGAATTGGGCCTGTTGGGCCTTTTGGGCCTGTTGGGCCTTTGCGGGAGTAGTAGGAGTCTGTGGGCCGGGGGTTCCCGGGCCATATACTCCATCAGGAGTCCCTCACTCCTTTTGCCGAAAGGTACTTGAGGGAAAAGGAGTAATTTGTGCTTGCCCTTTGATGTTGTCCCGTTGTGATCTCTGAAGTTGGTGAGGAGTTGTTGCTTTTATGTCCCTGCCGAAGGCGGTCCCTCAGTTACCCACATGTCGGGACTTGAGGGCTTGCTTTGTTGTTTGTTGGAATTTCACAGATTTTGTAATTTAATGATTTTCCCGAGGGGTTCCTCCAGTCCCCCACTCCTTGAGGCACTTGTAAAGTGGTGAAAAGGAGTAAAGTAGTTACGTTGCTGTTGTGGGCCGAAGGCTGACGCTTTTCGTTTCATTTTGGGGGGATGCCTCGTTAAAAACCTCATTAGGAAAAACCCTTTGGGAAAAAATCCTAACGAGGGAAAAAGAGTGCACCGAATTCCCCCAATGATGAATCGAAAATGTCAAACCTTGGTACGAAATGGAGAATGAAGGGAATGCCGAGGGCTCTCTTCTTCTGAGGGCTCCTGTGTTGATTAGCCGAAGGCTCGATGTTGATGTCCTGGTGGCGCCGAAGGGGAGCCCGTCAATCCAGAGATCGAGGGCCTGCCAGATGAGGGCAGCAGTGAAGTGTTTACCGGGGGGTCCACTGTTTGTTGATTTGTTGGTGATGAAGATACCCGAGGGCTCCCCCATTACCTGTGTGCCAGGGGCCATCCGTCAATGAGGAAACTCCCCGAGGGCTACCCAGTTTTGCAGTGTTGAGGGGGAATCCCCGAGGGGGTGTCCTGATATGAAGCCCTGGGTCTCTGAAGGAGTGATCCCGAAGGCGTCTGTTATGTGCTGTGTGGGGCGCAACCCGGGGGCACTTCTGAGTGATTGTACCCGGAGGCTATCTTTGATGAAGTGGAGTGAAGTAGAAAACCCGGGGGCTTCCAGAATATAGCCGTTGGAAATATAGCCGTTGGTATACGTAACGACAGGATATAGCCGTTGGGGGGATGGCACACGTGGCGTGTGATGGCTGGTTGTTCGTGGGCGGCGTCACCGGTTGGGTGAAACGACGGCACGTAATGATGGCGTCCATCCGGAGGCCCGGAACCCAGGCCCAAGCCCGGATCCCAGCGCCTATAAATACCCCAAGGCCAGGCATTCCGCCGTGTGCGATAAACTTGTTAGCGAAGCTCTGTCAATTTTTCTAGAGAGAGAAAGTTCAGCCTTCGGTCCGAAACTCAGCTTTCGAGGTCAGTGCTCCCTGCCTTTCTCCTTCTAGCATAGCTGTACTGTGCCCTTAGTTTAGGAGATAGAAAAGTTAGGAAACACTACCGTCTACGAGCCCTCGAACAAGAAAGCGAATGTCGTCCCAGAGTGACTCTCAGGACATCTCGAGGACGCCCTCGATGGAGGACGAAGGCATCTCCGATGTGGAGTCAAGCAGTGATCAGCCCTCGGATTGTGGTGATGCAGCCCTCGCCACTGAGGTGCAGAAAGATCTGACGGCTGAGGCCGAGGCGGAGGAATTCGAGCGAACTGCCGAGGATGAAGAGTTGGCCCTCGCCGTCCAAGTTGCTGAAGAGGAGGAGGAGAAGGAGAGGGCGAAGGTCACTGTGGCCGTCCTTCCCCCTCGGGGTGCAGGTGAGGCCAGTACTTCCCAGCCGCTGAACGCGGTTCCCATCCGGGTGGCCCCCGGGAAGAAGAAGGCCAAGGCGGCTGTCCCTAAGAAGAAGGTCATAGCTGCTGATCAGGGGAAGCCCGTAGATATGCCGGAGGGGTATTCCTGGCTCAACACGGCTGCCCTGGAAATAAAGTCGAAGGCGGACAGGGCGGACCTCTACGTGACGCAGCTACATGTAGGGCCCTCGGCCGAGGTGGTCGAGCCGGGAGTTGACGATGTGCTCTCTCGGGCGCCCGAAGGGTGCATTGCAGTACACGTGCTGTCGGTATCCATGGGCCTTCGGTTCCCGCTGCACCCCTTCCTCCGGGAGTACCTGAGGTTCGTCGGCTTGGTGCCCTGCCAGCTGACACCTAATAGCCATTCCTACGTGGCGGGTTTCCTAAATCTCTGTAGGGACTGAGGGGTGACCCCCAGCCTGGACTTGTTCTTCCAGAGCTTCAACCTCTGTCGAGGGGGTCACGCGAATGCGGAGGGCTTCACCAACCTGCAGCAGGTGGCCAGGTGGAAGCTGTTTACGGAGGCGCCTTCGTCAAACAAGGGCTGGAAGGAGCGCTGGTGCTATGTCAGGGTTGCTGAGAACCCATTCCCGGCGGAACTTCGGGATCGCTTCCGTCGGCATCCGAAGGTTGGAAGCGCCACCCTCGAAAAAGACGGCCTGGTGATAGCAAAAATCCCGGAGGGTCGCACCAAGCAGGTCTCCATTAAAGACTATACTGCCGACAAGGGATTCTACGCCCTCGGCTTTCGCAGATACCGGTTTATTGGTGAAGCGGATGAGAAGTACCCCGTTTTTGCTGAGGCCTTCGGGGGAACGGGAGGTAGTCTACGAGGTCCCTTAGCACATAGCTTATCCTGTTCGTTGTTTTTTTTTTGTTTTTTATTTTGTTCTTTGTGCCTTCGGTCAGCGTCCCCTCGATTCTAACCCCATTCCTTTGTTTCTTCGCAGGTGTCCCAGTGAAAATGATGAATGTTAGAGGCCTTGCAGACTTGAAGAAGAAGAAACCCTCCAAGGGCCCGAGGGGGACGAACGCCGGTGTCCCAAAACCCGCCGGTGACTTCTTCAAAAAACCGGAGGGGCCGTCGGTGGGCCCAAGCGCTGATGCTGATGCTGCCGCCAAAAGGAAGGGCTCGGGCAGAGATCCCGAGGGCAAGAAGCCCAAGACCGGGGATGCCGGGAAGAAATCCCCCCCGGTGATCATTGTTGATGAAGGCCCTGCCCCCGGGCCAGATGAGGACATGCAGGTGGCGAAGGTGCCGTCGGGAGTTCAGGGGCCATCTTCCGAGGTCCTCATGGTTTCCCTCCCGGCTGGTACGGCCGTGATGAATGGTACCGCCGACCCGAGGGCGCTTCTGCGAGGCATCACCCTCGAGATTGACAGGGTTGCCCTCGGGGCTGATGAAGACGAAGCCCTCGAGGACAGGATCCTCCGGTCCTCCCTTACAGTAAGTCTTTCACGCCTATTTCTTTCCGTTTTACTTGGAGCTTAGAAACCATATTTGGCCTTGCTAACCCCTTTGTTTTTGTAGACCTGCATTGCCCTCGGGGAGCAAGCCCGGCGGCTAGAGGAGTGGCGCCTTCGCAAGGCCGAGCAGGAGGCCAAGATGCGGGAGCTCATCCGCCAGAATGCAGACGCTGTGCGGCAGATGGCCACGCTGGAGGAGAGCCTTCGGCAGATGACCCTGCGAGCGGAGGCCGCGGATCGGGGTAGGGCAGAAGCCGAGAGGTCCGAAGCTGAGGCCTTGGAGAAGGCTGCCAAGGAAGCCGAGGCCGCGAAGGTTGAAGCCGTCGAGAGAGCCCGGGAGGACGCAATCTCGGGGTTCTTGGCAGGGGGATGGCGGTCCGAGGAGCACAAGCAATGGCTGTCCTCGGTCGTCGAGTCCTCGGTCGACGAGTGGTGCGATGGGCCTGGCGTGGAGTGGGTTTCCCGAAAGGGTAAACAATACTACGATGGGGGCGAGTTCTTCACTCAAGCCCTCATCTATCGGAGGATGGCTCGCCACTTGAAGATCGAGCCAAAGGACTTTGACCCGGCAGCATACGGGCTCCCCCCTGCAGCCAGACATCCGCGTTCCTCTTCCCCCCGATGTCGAGAGGCCAGACCTAGAGGACTCTGAGCTCATGAAGGAAGCCGATGGCGACGAACCTGAGGCCGACGCAGAAGTGACCTCGAAGCCATTGGGGGAGGCGGCCCCCGGGAGTAACATGATTTGATATGTACTTTTTATCACGTAAACATACATTTGTAATGATGACATTATTTATTCCTCGGCTTCGGCCTGCTTGTAATAGTAACACCGCAATTACACTTGCTTTCTTTTTGATGATTGAATGATCGCCTTCGGGCTTTGTATATATGACTTGTTCCCTTCGATTCCTTTATTCTTGGATGTATGCCTTCAGCATTTTTGAATGTATGTGTTTGTTCCTTTGAATGTATGTCTTAGGATTTAGAATACTATCTGATTGTAGCTAGCCCTTGGGAATCTTCGGTAGTTGGGCACCCTCTGCTGGATATGCAACCGATGGTTCGGCAGCAATTAGGACTTAAATTTTTTTTCTAAGTGTAGCACAGCATGAGGGCCTTCGGGCGTTTGTAGTAACCCACCTCCTAGGACTTAGAAAAATCTCTAAGTGTAGATTCCCCCTTGAGAGCCTTCGGGATATGGCGCCCATTCCTTATGTGTGAATGTTGGATCGAGGGCCCAATGCACAAGATTTAGATATTTTTGCAAGTGTAGTATGCCATGTAGCCTTCGGCTACTGTGGAGCCCCACCTGTAATATTGAATAGGCCGGGGGCTAATTCTCTAGGACTTAGAAGATTTTCTTGAGCGTTTTCTCATTGCGTACCGTAGCCCTCGATTGATAGGTAGCCTTCGGAAATTAGGTCCCTTGAGATGAGGGTGAAATATGTAGGCCTTAGAAAATCTTCTAAGTGTAGAGTTTCCCTTGGGAGCCTTCGGGAGATGGCATCCCTTCATGGTGTATGAGTAGTTGACTGGGGGGGAAAATATGTAGGACTTAGAAAATCTTCTAAGTGTAAATTTCCCTTGGGTGCCTTCGGGTGATAGGTGCCCTCTGATTCCACATTTTTTAAGTGTTGTCGTATTGCATGGCCTTCGGCCACCATATTCCCTTGGCTGTAATATTGATTGGGCCGGGGGCTCCATCTTTAGGACTTAGGATTTTTTGCAAGTGCTGCTCCCCGGTGTAGCCTTCGGGTGCCCGGGGGCTGCTCCTTCAGGACTTAGAATTTTTCTAAGCATAAATTGAAGAAAGCCAATGAGGAGTGTGTGCCCTCGGCACTCACTTCAAAAGTTGTAGAATTTGACCCTTGTCATGGGGAAAGAGCCCTCGGTATTTGTGCATAACAGATGCCTTCGGTGTTTGTTTGAAGTACTGTTTAGTGGACCTTGGATAGTCCAGTCCCTATGTATTGTTGAAGCCCTCGGAGTTTCCTGATGATATTTCCTTGAGTAGTATCCTTCGGGAAATAGGAGTCTTCAATTACCGGAGGCGTTCCCGTGGGGAGCCCTCGGCATGTTGTGATTTTGTTGGAGTGTACTCTTTGATTTCTCGCTGAGTCTACTCCCCTTCACCCTTTTTTTTTTTTTTTTTTTTTGGTGGTGAAGGGAAGGCATCAAGAAACTTGGTTTCTTGGTGAGGCTGGGCCTATTAGGAGACCATCAGAATACACCAATGGCTCTCCTCCCTCGGGTTAACCTTCCGAGTGCCGAGGGGATCGAGGGACGTTTCCTGGGCACAAGATATAGTGGTCCGTAACCTGCCTCCCCTTGGGGGATGACACGGAAAGCGCCTCATTTTTGAAAGTCGTCCCCTCGGCGCTAGACATAGTCTGTGGCCTGCCACACCCTTGGGGTGGTGGCGCGGGGAGCGTTTCGGTTTGGAAGTCGAATCCTGGGCATTTCTCATGCCTGTCATACCCTGGGGGTAATGACGCGGATAGCGTTCCGTTTTTGAAAGTCGAATCCTGGGCATTTCTCATGCCTGTCATACCCTGGGGGTAGTGACGCGGAAAGCGTTTCAAGGAAGGGTTTTCATTTGCACACTAGTTGCAAATGGCCGGGGGCACTACGTGCCGCCGGCACCGATGGTGGCGCCTTCGGTATATGCATCCTCGTGGGGTACGGCTTTTAGAAACAACACTTGGTGTTAGTTTCGGTGTGTAGCCCCCGATACTTGGTACCGAGGGGTCTTCTGTAGGAACACTTGGTGTTCTCTTGTTGTAGTCGATGTAGGCGTCTACCCTCGGTACTTGGTACCGAAGGGTCTTCAATTGAAACACTTGGTGTTTCCCAATAGATGTTTGGAAGCTGCTAGGGGAGCATATCCCTGGCACTGGGTGCCGAGGGGTCTTCTTTGAAACACTTGGTGTTTTTTCTTCGTTTCGATATTTGATGAGGGAGGTGTACCCTCGGCACTGGGTGCCGAAGGGTCTTCTGTAGGAATACTTGGTGTTCTAATCTTTTCTTTTTTGATGTTGAAGGTGGGGAAGTACCCTCGGCACTGGGTGCCGAGGGGTCTTGACTGAAAACACGTGGTGTTTCTACTGTTTGTTGTAGGTGTTGATGGTGCCCGCCCTCGGCACTGGGTACCGGAGGGGGTTCTTCTTGTGGTGAGGCCTGGGGCCTGTAGTCAGTATGAGGGCTTGATGTCTTGAATGTATCTTTATTCTTCGAAATTGGAGGCCTTGGGCCATTGGATAGTACATTCACTAGTTATGAGGGCTCGATCGCTCTTACATTATTGATAGAATTTAACTAAATGGTGTACATTCCAGTGCCTAGGGACCTCTTTCCCGTTGGGGCGTTTGAGTTTGTAAGTCCCGGGTTTAATGATGGCTGCTATGATGTAGGGGCCTTCGAATTTTGGTGCCATTTTTCCTCCCTCGGTTGGCTGGCTGGCTTCCCTCCTCCGGAGCACATAGTCCCCCACTTGAAATTCCCGGGTTCGAACTTTGGCGTCAATGTAGCTTTTGACTTGCCTTCGGTAGTTTTCTGCCCGGATGAAGGCCTGCTTCCGGCGTTCTGAAATGAGGTGCAGGTCGAGGGCCATGTTGCTGTCGTTGACCTCAGGGTCATATTGGATCACCCTTCGGGTAGGAAGGGTGACTTCCGTAGGAGCTTTGGCTTCAAAACCGTAGCAGAGGGAGAAGGGTGTTTCACCTGTAGCGCGCCGAGGGGTAGTGCAGTAGGCCCAGAGGATGTTGTGAAGTTCTTCTACCCAGCCACCGCCCTCGGCCTCCAGCTTCTTTTTGAGGCCCTCGAGCAAGGTCCGGTTGGCGTTCTCTACTTGCCCGTTGCCTTGAGGGTAGGCAACGGAGGAGAAGGTATGTTTGATGCCCCATGCCTCCAGAAGGGCACAGAAGGGGGCTGCCTCAAATTGTGTTCCATTGTCGGAGATGATCTGCTGGGGGACGCCAAACCTTGTGAGGATGTTCTTGAGGACGAAGTGACGGCACTTCGCCTCTGTGATGCTGGCGAGGGGTTCAGCCTCCACCCACTTGGTAAAATAGTCGACGACCACAATGATGTATCTGTTGTTGGAGGTACCCCTCGGCAGAGGGCCCACAAGGTCTATCCCCCATCGAGAAAATGGGACAGATGTGCTGATGGGGGCATAGTTGACCGCTGGCCTACCGGGGGCTTTCTGGAAATGTTGACATGCGGTGCACCTCCGGGCAAGGTCAGCACAATCCCTGGCCATGGTTGGCCAGAAGTAGCCCTGGAGAATGAGCCTTCGGGACATGGAGAAGGGTCCCTGGTGAGCTGAGCAAGTGCCACTGTGCACTTCCTCCATTGCGATCTCGGCTTCATCTGGATGAAGGCACCGAAGTAGCGTGCCATTGTAAGATCGTTTGTAGAGCCTTCTATCTTCGATGGTGTAGCTGGGAGCCCTCAGCTTTGCCAGTTTAGCGCGGGCCTCATTATCGGGTAGCTGCCCTGTGGAGATGAAGGTGGTGATATCTGAGATCCAATCCTCCTGACGCTGTTGTATGTTCATAACGGGGCTTGCATGGATGCTTGAGAGGCTGAGTTCCTCGATTTTGGCAATTTTGGAGATGTGCTCGGGGGAGTCTGCCGAGAGCTTAGATAATATGTCGGCCTCGGAGTTCTGAGCCCTCGGTATTTGGGTGAGAGAGTGTGCCTCAAATACCTTAAGCAACTCCTTGGCCGCCTCCTTGTACTGTATCATTCTTCCCTCCTTGGCCTCATATTCTTCGGAGATTTGACCAACGACCAACTTGGAGTCGCATTTGATGTGGATCTGCCGAGCCCTCATGTTGGCAGCCAGCCGAAGGCCACATAGGAGGGCCTCATATTCGGCCTCGTTGTTGGAGACCTTGAAGGAGAAGCGGATTGCATAGTAGGCCCTGAAGCCCTCGGGAGTAATGAGGACCACCCCTCCCCCGCATGCTTTGGTCGCGGAGGAGCCGTCAGTGTAGAGGGTCCACCAGTCGTCCGAGGTAGCCGAAGGCTCCCCGTCTGTGGCTGCCCTTGCGGTACATTCTGTCACAAAGTCCGCTAGGGCTTGGCCCTTGATGGCAGGCCTTGGACGGATGTCAATGTTGTACTGGCTCAAGAAGATAGCCCATTTAACCATGCGGGAGGAGCTGGTGGGGCTCCTCATGAGGGCGCCGAGGGGTTGATGAGTGAGGACCTGAACGGGGTGAGCCTGAAAGTAATGGCCCAACTTCTTGACAGTCCAAACGATGGCCAACACCGTTTTTTCCACAGGGGAGTACCTGAGCTCGGCCTCCCTTAGGGTCTTGCTAACGTAGAAGATGGCATGTTGGATGCCGCCTTCCTCCCGGATAAGCACAGAGCTGATGGCTGCCGGGCTGACCCCAAGGTAGAGGTAGAGGGTCTCCCCTACCTTGGGTTTGGAGAGCACAGGGGGTGAAGATAGATAGCTTTTTAGTTCGTCGAAAGCCCCCTGGCATTCTGGAGTCCATAGAAAGCCAGCCGTCTTCCTCATGATCTGGAAGACGGGTAGAGACTTCTCTGCCGATTTAGATAGGAAACGGTTGAGGGCTGCCAGGCGGCCCGTCAACCGTTGAACTTCCTTCACGTTGCGTGGGGGCTCCATGTTGAT